GGCGTGTGGCACCGCAATCAAGTCAGTACGCATATCCATGAGTGTGTGTGTGTGTGTGTGTGTGTCGCACCCTGGTTCTAAGGGTTTTCCACGGTTTTCCAGCAGGGGGGCAGCAGGGAATCCACAGTTCTGCTGACAGCTGTGGACATTCCGTAAAGCAGATTGGGACGCCAATCTGTGTACCTGCTGAAAAAAACTTTTGCACAAGCTGTCCCATCCGCTCGGTTTGATTCATGGTGGTTGCATGTTTTCCTCCCTTAAACCTTTCCTTTGCCGCCGTCAGCTGCCACGCGTTCGTGAACTGCAGAACGAGGGAAACTATGTTCAACAATACAAGTGATCGGACCCATGCACCTCACCTTCCTTCCCAACGTGGCAATTGAGTCTAACTGAAAACCCAAGTTCGAAGTGTGGACCGCTCAGTCTTCCCACGTGGGTACTGGGTGTGACCCTCCGAAAGGAGGCGCCGAAGCCATTCCGGATTTCATTGGCCCTGCTTGTTTATAACTGACCTTCTGTTTGTTCACTTTATCCCTGAATTTACTGATTTTCGAGCCGCCTGGCTATAAGCGACGGAATATCTACCCAAAGTTCTGACATCCATTCGTGTTGTGCATTGCTACATTCCTCAATTTTTAATTTTTCCAACCGCAGCCATTTAGCTGACGATCAACTTACGCATGCTCAGTACTGCACATCCCAGGCCACCGCTGCGGCTGAAGCCCTGGTCAACCTATACGCCCAAAAAGGGCATGACCTGCATGCGTGCAGGCGGTTTTTGAGAAAAAAGATCCGTTTTTCCACCGCTTGATCTGTGCGCCGATCACGGCTTGTTGTGTGTGTCGCACCCTGGTTCTAAGGGTTTTCCACGGTTTTCCAGCAGGGGGCAGCAGGGAATCCACAGTTCTGCTGCCAACGAAGACAGCTGTGGACATTCCGTGAAGCAGATTGGGACGCCAATCTGTGTACCTGCGGAAAAAACTTTTGCACAAGCTGTCCCATCCGCTCGGTTTGATTCATGGTGGTTGCATGTTTTCCTCCCTTAAACCTTTCCTTTGCCGCCGTCAGCTGCCACGCGTTCGTGAACTGCAGAACGAGGGAAACTATGTTCAACAATACAAGTGACCGGACCCATGCACCTTGCCGTTCCCTCACCTTCCTTCCCAACGTGGCAATTGAGTCTAACTGAAAACCCAAGTTCGAAGTGTGTTCAATTTCCCGCTGACGAGGCGTCAGCAAGTGCGGGAGACCAAGGAACAAGTCATTGAGACGAGGAGCAGCGGGGGGCGGGAAAGGTCGAGGCATGGTCCGGAAATGGATCATCCAATGGAGTGCAGCAAGTTTCTACCAGGATCCGACTTCGTTCGTACACTTCTTTTCTAGGACATGACATGACAAGACCGTCATGACCCATGACCCGAGAAAAACACTTATAAACGTGGCCATGTTTCGAATTAACAGCTTGAAGTTGACACCGGAGCTTGCGGGAAGATTGTCCCAGCTTTCATGTAGAACTGGTCGTGCTTTCTTGGAGAAGCGGTCGTGCACGGGACCGTGGATTTACACATGTTTGGGAGATGCAAATCCTCTCAAAAGGGGTTGACAGCTGAGCGTTGCAAATGGTGCATGGTTGGATATACGGCCATTGAAACTGGTTGAAACTCCAGTGGTTGAAGCATGTTGAAGCAGTGGCCCCTACATTGACCCCTGAACCTGCTCCAAATTTAGGTAGTTATATGTTATATGCCATAATACATGCAGTGTGAGGTATACCTGGACCTCCACCAAAAGGCGCCAAAAGGTGTGTCTCTTTTGCGGAACTTAACTCAGGTGTTTAGGAGCTTTGAGACCAGCCAGTTTGTACGGAAGAATGCATCTTATAACTTAATGAGTGGGCCTGGAGGGTTTATGATGATTTACAGTGGAATGGATAGTGTTTTTGTTCTCAGCCTGATACGTCAAGCCCAGACCCTGCTGGCGGGGGGTTTAACTCGCAGAAAGGGTCCCAGGTGGAAATGGGGCTGTGCTGGCCATAGTTGCTTTTCAGTGCATGTGCATCCATAGAGCGGATAAGAAGCAGAACACTCTGTTTACTAAACGATGCACTTGGTAAACGGTGGCTTGCGTTTGAAAGCTGGTTGAGCCTTACATGATACGCTTTCCTTTTCAGGTTGGGGCCAGATAGTACAACGCTCCAGGACCGTGGTCTTGAAGAGAGTTCGTTGCTTGGAAAGCAGGGTCCATGGCATGTCTGTGGCTTTAACCGTGCTTCCGCGCACGGTGAATGCAGCAAATTCTGCACCGCTGCAGTGATTGACGATCTAAGTATAAGTTCACCACCAAGACACTTAAAATACACCGCCCTCCTATTGAGGGAACGATCTGTCACCGCCCCATGTCCGTCCGTTGTCACGGAGAATCGACCCGAGTGGGTCGATCGAGGGCCATGCCGGCCAGTTCATCTCGTTTTCTCAGTTGCATGGCATGGCGGCCAGGGCAAGTTGGAATACAAAACCAACAGAAACGCAACACACTTATGGGTTCCATGTCGGAGTACGTAGAGAAGGCTCTTTAACCAAGCAGCTTCTTTTGTTTTTTGTTAGCCACCCCCATTAATCCAACCTCAGTACTACCGTAGATGGACGAAATATTCAAAACCTTTCAACCACGTGGACCCCTTCTACCCCAAAGCTCAATGTTAGAGGTCTTGCAAGAATGTTTCGGCGAATGGACGAAACAACAAATCAAACCCAGGAAACACAAATTCAATCAAGTTATGTTCAACATTGACCTTTGGGGGCCAGGGGTTGGCGACAGTTATTGATACATGGGCTTGAATATTTGGTCCATCTACTGTAGTACCTCAGTTTACAGCGATTGGCTGCGCGCCTTGCGCTCTTTGCAAAGCTGGAAAAGCAATCAGTCCTTGTCACTGCACCAGGTAGCAGCTATGGTGCCCCTAAGTGTCTAGAGGTACGGGTGCCCCTATGTGTTTGGTGTCGATATACTACTGTATATATATATATATATGTATTATATACCTAGAACCCATTTGACCGGTGTTTTGCTAAGAAAAGGCCATGTTTGGGGCTCCAGATCAAGGGTCACTCAGGTTCAAGGTACATAACGGTCAATCATGTAAACAAAGATAGATGATACCAGTTCATTGTCCCCAGACTTTGACCTCTTGACAATCGTCACTCGCCAACCATCCGTACCTGCTCAGGTTTTTTTGAATCCATGTGCACTCATTATCAACTGTTGATTGGGGATGAGTTTGACTATCTCTTCACATCCACCTGTCAACTGCCTTGTGTGTTCGGTTGCAAATGATTTACACATGATTATACTGTATAGTGTTACAAAACAACAAGGTGTAAACCACTAAGGTCCCCCTACTACCATTCAAACAACATAAGATCCGAGACCTGAATCCTGCTGATGTGATATGTTACTATGTTACTTAGAGCTGAACATAAAGCAAACCAGCACATATGATCAGTTCACTCCACTTCCATGAGTCATCCAGCTGAGGTCGAAAGTGAGGAGTTTTGATTTGTACAAAGCGAAGACGTAGCCGTGACGGTTTTGGACAGCCAAGTGCTGGCTCGCTGTTCAATTCTATGAGGGAATATGAGGGATCTACCTTTTTGTCACCCAAACTAAATTAAACCGAGTCCTTTTGATTTGATGAACAGACGGTCACTGTGTTTTGATGTTTCTTGAGCCCATGTGAACGGATCCCCCAAATAATTCGATGCACTGAAAGTTTTTGCGCAGATCTGCAAGAGCAGGTTTGGGTTGGATTGAGGGTTTGGATTGAGGACACTGGAGCTGGAGCAACCTGGTTTGCATTCTATGTCAAAGCAAGGGATGCAAACAACCTGACTCCTCTCTCTCTATATATATATATGTATTAGACGTGCAGTTCGGTAGTCAAAGTTTTGGCTTATCGTTGCCATATGGCACAACAAAAACACTGCATACCATGAAGCCAAAGGGGACTGAGTTTACATGCCATTCTCCATCATTTGCACAGACAGAGTCAATTTTTTGTGGCGAGGTATCGAGCTCCGCTGTTTCTTCTGCGAAGTGAGTGAAGTTTTTTGCACTGCCGTTTGACACATCATCGTGAAGCAAAAGCATATACCAAGGCCCCCTAAGGGGTGGTTGATGGCTACCCCTTAACCTTTAAGGAGCTATGATTAGACACCCCCAAGCCCGGGGGCCCTGGTATGGGCCACATACCGTATTTGAGTTCCTTTAAGTGACTGTAAACAAGAGAACGAAAGCCGCTGAGCCCTTCGAGATGTGATGAAGATCACCTTGACTTTCCAAGCCACTTCTGCTCCGTCAATTCGACCCGGCGAAAAGGGGTCGACCCGCCGGGTCGGGAGCAACATCGGAGCCGCTTCGGTGCCGGAGCCAACGGCGAAGCTGGCAGAGCGACCACGGGAGTTGCCCAAGACTGACAGCTAGAGCTACTCCAACGTGCAGTGGTTCTTTTTTTTTGGGGGGTTCTATGTTGGAAAGGGCTCCCTCAGCACTTCCACATATACTGGAAACTCACTCCGGGAATGAGCATTGACTTATCCTTTGGTTGATAGAGTCTGGAATGCCTCATGTCACATGTCCTATTTGCTGGAGGAGAACTGTGAATCTGCTCCAAAACATAACATGATTTTGCTTGGTTGGAGTGGAAAACAGCTTGAACAACACCTGCCAAGTTTGTAAGTGTAACTTGACATGAGCTACCAGCGGAATCTAGAACAAGCTTTGACTGCAGCACATCAGGCCCTTAACAGAATTCAGACACCCAAGTGTTTGCACAACTTGCCCAATCAGCGAAACACTCATGGTGGGTGTGTAGCAAAAGAGGAAGACCCTCAGCCGCTGGAGCCTATGCTTTTCCATGGTAGTCCCTGATGAAATGACACAGACTGGGGTGTCTCCTCGAACCCAAAGTCGCGAGATGGTTCAACGCTCGGAGTTCCTAAGGCCACTGGACAAAGATCTCCTCTCGATCCAACTTGGGTCGCATCTTGGCAGACATCGGATGACGCCATGAAGTTTGGACCCCCAACAAGCAACTATTTACAGGGTCATGTCGTATCGGGCAATCATGCAAAGAATTGTTGGATACCTGGCAGATCCCGCTTACAAACAGATCACCTTCCGCGAAACCACTGTCTGACTAGTTCGGATAAGAACTTTCAAGCCGGGTGGCTGTTGAAAGGGCTGGACAGAAAGACGCAGGCGTCAGTAACGACAAGTGCAGACAGTGCTGAAATCCAGGCGAGAACGTTTGGGACAGCATTCAATTTGACTTTGAGTTCTGACGGATGGAATTCAACACCAAGAACTTGATTCGCCGGTGACTTAAGGAAGCCAGTTTGTAATCAAATGTGAAGACCACTTCAGCAACACCTGGACGCTCGCATGCGGACTTCGACCCTGACGTACCCGGGCTCTTCCGTCTTACGTCCTACGTCACCAAGCGGTCGGGTCCACCGGCCCGACGTCGGTGGGTTCGATCTGTCTCATCGCCCCGGAAGGGACTGAAAACGCTCGGAGAACATGACCAGGACCGGTGACCGGCCAGAAACGGCCATAAACGGCCGTCTAGAGGAGGGGCAATGCAAGCGACCCTCATCCTTGGTCACCAGGTCAAGTGGCTCAAGAGGCTCCCTTACAGTCGCACAGTCGAATTTTTTCAGCACCACGTTTGACCAATCCTGCGATATCCTGCGCCCCATAGATGTTGTTTTTTTTGGACAGTGTCATGACTTGACCAATGGTGCTTTTGGTTCTTCAGTTCAAGTCGTTGTTGTTCATTTCAGATCATTTTGATATATGACTCACAAGACCTTTGATTAATTGCGGGGTTTTGAAGTACTTTGTCAATGCTTTCATGAAGTCAGACAATGTGCATTTGCCTATTGCTGGGTGAACATACCTCTCGCACAAGTTCGCTGTTCATATTTGTCTATGGGAACATGGGGAAGCTCCACAAGGTTGTGCGCAGAAACTGTATGAACACCTCCCAGTTGTTCACTCTACAAGTTCAGAACATGATGAACATGCCAATCTTGTGCCTCAGCTTTGGCAAATGTTCGGAATACCCGAAGTTCGCCATCTCAAAACGACCTCCTGTCCTGTTTCTTGCCGAAGCCCCGTCTCCACTGCTACCACTGCTGCTACCACTCCGCTGCGACGTCTACGTCACCCCGAGGAGACCTAAGGTGCGGCCGACCTTGGCGTTGAACCACAAGGTACGTACGGCTGAGCTCGGTGCTCGTGCGTTCTCTGAGCTCGGTACCACCCCGTGGTACCCGTACGGCTGACCGGCGTTCCCCACGGCCTGGTGTTGGGAGGGCTTCCGTTGCATAGAGTATTTGGGTTTTTGAATGGGTGGTGTTGACCGTCAGAAGCAGTTCGAGTGATTGACTCCGACATTGGGTACCGGGGGCTACAATAAGTCGTTTGGTCTTGTAGTAAGTCACTTGGAAGACGCGTGGCCGACTGCAGGGTGACCCCAAAAACTGCCGCCCAGGCGGCCGGGCCGACGAAACCTGCCAAAACCGGCCGGGTGACGAAACCGAACGATGTTGTCATTGGCCCTGAGGGAACTCGATCGAGCTGAACTCCAATGTTCCAGCTTATGGGGGTTTCCAATTTTTGTCTATACGAGAATGCGCGAAGCTTCTTGGCTTTTTGCGTTGTTCTTTTCATACTCCCTTTTAAACAACTGCGCAGCCGCAGCATAGAATCGAGATATACCGAAAAAATCGCATAGAAAACGTGCAGCCCATGAGGGCGATGGAGGTGTCGTTTGCGAGAATTGGTGGGTTTTAGGGTCAAACACCGGTGCCAACAGTACCCCAAGGACATCTCATCAACCAGCTTCTTCAGTTCGTGACCTTTTGAAGGTTCCATCTTAGGAGGCTTAAGTGACCGAACCAACCAGGTTATCAAAAGGTCACTTTGAAGAGCTAGGAAAGTCTCTATTTCTTGCTGGCTACACTTGCTGGTGCAGTCATGGGCAGTCCATACCTTTCCCCTACAGGTCTGGCAGACCTGGCGTCATGCAACAACACTACTCAAGAAGGTATTTTGTAATACCAGGGTCTACTGGGCCGGACGTGTAGGGATCTGGCTTTGCTTACCTTCTAGATGTTACCAGAGGCTTTTCCCTGCCCGTTTAGAAAAGCGGACCACGCTCGCGGGCGCGGCCTAGATGCCAGGCCCGGCAGCAGCGGCGGAGGCTCGCTGGGCGTGAGCGGCAACGCCGGGACCATGGATGTCGTTTCTTGGTTCGTACCTTAGAAAAATGAGACATGACCAAAACAAAGACACCCAGACACTTCGTGCGACTGCCAATGGGGGGTCAACTGATCGGTATATGGCAGTCCCATGAAGTGTTTGGGACAGGTACTTGTACCATCTTGCACCAATTTTCCGAGGTGCTTTGCTTGCTTGTGGAATATGGGTGTGTATTTTGGGAGATCCCCAAGGAGGGCCATTTAATTTAGCTTTTCTTTAACGGATCTTTTTGTGTTTTTCGTGGCTTCTGGCTTCTGGCTTCTGTGGCTTCTGGCTTTTGTTTTTGTGCTTTCGTGGCTTCTGTGGCTTTTGGCTTTCGTGGCTTCTGTGGCTTTTGGCTTTCGTGGCTTTCGTGGCTTATCCATCTATTATTTGTCTATATCTGTCTAGATCTATCTGTTTGTTTGTCTATCGATCTATTTATCTATCTCTCGATCTATCTATCTATCTATATATCTATCTTTTTTTTTCTTTCTTTCTTCCTCTTTCGCAGCTGTTCTCCTTTCTCTTTTTGCTTGTGTTTTTTCTTTTATTCGCTTTGCAGAGAAGAAACCAAACAAGGAAGGAAGGAAGGAAGGAAGCAAGGAAGCAAGGAAGCAAGGAAGGAAGGAAGCAAGCAAGCAAGCAACCAAGCAAGCAAGCACGCAAGCACGAGCTACTCACCTTTGGATCTGGTGTGCTGCTGGGGGGTGCGCTGCGCCCCCCCCCAACCCCCCCCCCGCGCCACGAAATCTGCACTTCATCTCCGCCACCCGCGTCTTCCACAAAATCTTTCTCCTTGCTTTTCTGCCAACTGCACCAAACTGTTGTGAAAAGCAGAAATTTATCTGACACCTACACTATTCCAATGCAAATCTGTCTACCTATCCATTTGTCTGTCTATATCTATCTGCCATGTCTATATCTATTTATCTATCTGTTTGTCTATCGATCTATCTCTCTATCTCTCGATCTATCTATCTTTCTATCTTTCTTTTTCCCGAATGCGTACCGAAGGGTTCTCGTTTAACTCTTGGGGGTCTGGGGGTGGAGCCTTGTTCGCGACCCGTTGCTTCTATGTTCGCAACCGTCCGCAACCGTTCGCAACCGTTCGCCACCGTCCGCAACCGTCCGCAGTAGAGCGCTAAGGCGCTGCCATTGGGGGAAGTTTTTGCAAGTGACTTTTCATGGATGTGTCACGTGTCAGTTTGCGCCGCTATTCCATTGTGATTTGCATGAAAAT